CAAACCACATCCACGAGGAGGAGAGCACTTTTTTGTTAATATCTCTACAGAGCTCATGTGGAATCTTCCTCGAATACTTGAAGCGCTGGGGATGCCTAGCCATGATGGCGACTCATTCGCCATCCCTATTCCCTTCTGGAAACCTTGTTCATTCGAGTGAATGCCAGATGTCAGGGCTGTTGCTCAGCCATTCCGTAACCCATTATTTTACCTACAAGTGGCAAGTAAACCTGTTGCAAAGACGTAGGAAACGAAACGTTCTGTTGTCCTGGAAGGAGTCACCATGACCTTCAGAGACCGCCACCCAAGTAGAATCGGCGCACAGGCGCGAGGTTGCAACCACGGGAAAAACAGGATCCAAATGTAGGGGAGTCCCGGTCTCAGAAACCTCAACGGGTAGCATCGTACATCAGCTCATACGAATGTAGGAAGATGCGGAACATGCAGAAAACAGTAGTTACGACTCCCAAAACACTTTTTTTTTACTGCAAGTTAGCTGTCCCATGGGTTATACTTTAAATGTGTCTGCCATCAACCAATGCGTCTGCGGTTCGGGAAAACAATAAATCTTAGAGTAACTCTGACGCTCGTCCGCTTCCTTGCGTCGTTCAAGAGCTCTTTTTAAGTACTGAAGTAGTGAAAAAAAAGCACGTCTTTATGCAATTCTGAAATTCTCCAATTGAGTAGATGTACTCCACGAGGGAACTACGGGGATGTACGAGGTACATCTCATTTGCGGTGCCGGTGCGAACGCAAGTGTCGACAAACTGACGAATCGCCCAGTATTTCATCGCGGACGCTTAAAATCCCTGAATTCCCTGCAGCAGGCGGGAAGCGGTGAGCGACGCCACCGTTCTGTCGCGAGTGCAACGGCAACCCTCATCTCAACGTTCATCTAAGAGATGGCGAAACGAGAGCGAATCTCCGATTTCCCGCGAAAGCTGCTCCCACCCCTTCCGTGAGGCCGATTTCCAAATTCCATTTCTCTAAGGCACATCCTCAGATGAAAAGGAAGCGTTCTGTCGAAACCTCAAGTTGATATTTCGAAACGTTTTCCCTGTAGAGCCGACACACTCACACAAACACATAATTGTCGCTCGGCCCACCTAGCGGTCAGGATCACGCAGGCTATAAATTTAACTTCCGGACCATGGTTGCCAAGCAACCGAGATCCTCCGCTTTGAATTATCACCAAAGATGAGGAGCGTTTTTCTCCCGTGTCCGTGAGAATGTCTCTTGAGCTATTCAAGATCCATCTTGATCTGCTGGAAGAGAGGGCGGGATACAAACTTCAGACCATGCATTTTCCCGAGAATATGGTGGCTGTGTTATTGAAATGCAGACTTCGTACACATATTCTGAATAACTTGAAACGCATGCAGCACTCTTCTGAAGGAGGGGACGACTCGGGTTTTTGCGATCGAAGAACATGAGCTCGCCTTAAAAAAAAATTAAATTAGAATTCACAAATTAAACATTGGAAAATCTTCGGGAATATAATTGATATGGCGGCCCTTCTTTAAGATGTTATTTACTCTAGCTATGTATCTCGTTCATGGAGAATCAATGATGATGATCGGCATCATCTACTGCCGATGTCATTTCATCAAAAGAGCCGCGAAATTGAGTTATCCAAAGATTTCACGACTTGCAGTCAATAGCTACCAAGAGCGAACCGCTGCGAAGATGCGACAGAAATGAATCGCCCGATTCCACTGCGAAGCGTACTGCGACCGACGGCGAAGGTCTCACGTAAATCCAATGCGACCGATTGCAACAAGCTTCGACGGTCGCAGTGCGGCTCTTCACAGTCAGTTTGCATGGCCCCTGAGGATGCATTCACTAAAGAATGCACAGTGGGAGTAGATGCAGGTGGCATATATGCAAACCCTCTCAGATCTCGACACACTGGTAAGGCACGTGGAGACGCGTGAGAGCGTGAAAGGCGCCTGAGGTTTCATCGTCTTCTCGCTCGTAGTCCTGCATAATCGACACCCGTATCCCAACTTGCGGACAAATAAATTTTTGCTTGACTCGGATGGATAATTTGGCGATATACTCACTTCTGTATATGCTCACACATGCCTCTTCTATTCATCTATTTCTATCTAAATCCGCAGCAGCATGATTTGAAAAAGGTTTTAGTGCTGGTGCACATTTGTCATTGATTTCTGAACGAACATCGGTCATCATGTTTCCTTATCGCATGAGTTTAGATATGCCTACTTATGTTATCTGGCTTTCTCAAGAGAAAATGTATATAGGAGGTCTAAAATTCACTAACAGAATGCCGAATGTGATATTCATGCCGAATATACTGTGGACAATTCCCTCTTCTACGAACAAAAATTCATGCAAAACGTTTGAAAAATGTTTCCCTCTTTTATTTCCTCCCGATACGCCGAAGACCGAGGAGAAATGCAGCAAAATTGGACTGCAGATGTCTAAGAGCGTTGCGTAGGCATGCAAGTAGATGATTTACTCTGGACCAAAAGTTTGAAACCGATTCGGAAGATAAAGGCGACTTACGCTTCAAAAGGGACGCCAGGGATCCAGCTGGAGTTTATTCTGAAGGGGCATTTGGTGTCGGGTCGATGTTGAGAAACTCGTGGGAAAAGTCACAACCATCGTCGTTTGCCCTACTTTGTTCTTCTTTTATTTTTGAAAGTCCCTCATCGTGTGACGTTCCGGGAAACCCCATGAGAGAAAACTGCACCTGACACATCTTTTTGCGCATTTCAGACACTATCAAACCGGAACGAGAAGATCCCTGTCACCTCTAGAAGGAGAGAAATTATTGCTCTCACAGATATGGCCTTGCATTCACTGGTTCTGTTTTTCCTTCTAAGAAGCACTCGAAGAACTTATTTCCCCAGGGTACAGGGTACCTACTTGGGGGAAATACAAGCGTTAATACGTCATAGTCACCAGAATACCTTTACCTTCGATCTTGCAATTCTCATTTTGAAGTAATGCACATTTCGGCAATCGCATGACCGGAATTGGCATTCAGACTTTCAGGAAACCAAATCCCTTCAAACTTATTGCATTGTTGTTCTGTAGATATTAAGTCGAGTCCAGTACAGTGTTGAAAAGTAAAAAGTAGGAGGAAACTAAAGCCACGATTAGAGGAAGGGAGAGAAAGTCGTACTCCTGCCTTATTAAAATTTGATTTATCAATTATGGAATTCTAAATATTAAAATGTTTCATGCGTCCAAGAGCATCTTTTGCCCTCCCCCCCCCCCCCCCCAAAAAAAAAAAAGTCACGTTTGTTGGCGCTTAAGGGATGGAAAGCTACAGGATGCATCAGAGCTCGGCGTAGGTGAGTTTACGAGTGCCTCTAAACGTTCATTCCACCACACAACTATATCCGCTTCGGCTGCCAAGACCTTCCCTTTTCGATCTTTCACGACCGATGATGTATTGCCAGCCTTGCAGTAGCCCTCGAATGGTTTGCTAGAGTCATAGTAGTGCCTTAGTAGTGTTTCATTACTTCGCAGTTCCCTTAATGCCTCTCCTTTCGACATGTACGTGGCTTACACTACCTTCTCGTGTAGCAACAGCCAGACATGGTACTATTGGTATCCACCACGGAGTCCGCTTGGTATTCTTGCATGTCACTCCGCTTTGCTTTTTGCCCCTTGCCTTTCTCATTAACCCCTTCAGTCCTTATTTTAACATGTTCAAAAATCCGTTCGACGTTTTTTGCATTCACCTCGTATCATTTGAGGGACAATATTCGGCTTCCCCACTTCCCGTGATGAATTCTGAGAGAAAATCGTACCCAGTCGAACAAACGTCTTTCCAGGCGGCAACTGAATTGAAAACGCCCACGTCCTTGTACCCATCCCACTTGAAACTCGGCCAACGCGTCGCGTCGGACCCCTCGGGCCAGCCCGCAGCCCTCTGAGGCCTCTAAGTTTCAGAACTCGAGGTCCCTGGGAACGTCTTTCTTCTAAACGACTCGGCTGGCTCTGCTGACGTCGCATTCGTGCCTGCCTGTTCGGTACTCTCATGTTTCACAACGTTCCGCTGGCAGCTACTTCCCCGAGAGTGACGCCATTTGATGACGAGATTGCATTGAGAGCCGACGGAACGAGGTGTCCTTTTGGCCATCTGCTGTAAACGGCTGGAGAAATATACCCCGCTGATGGAGCTTCCGTCTGCATCCAGCAGGAAACTTGACTGGGGAGCTGCCCCTCAGATCCGCAAGTTGGGTCGGTCCGATCGAGCAGATATTTGGTATTTATGGTTTTTCCAAATTCCAGCTGTGTTTTATTTCTATGTTATGGAACAGAAGTTGATCAACCTCAAGTAGGAAGACGTGAATGTTCCAAGGGTACCAGCTAGTACAGGGTGGGCCACTTAAAAGTAGCCCGCCTCCTATAATACTGCGACAGTAAGAACAATGTGCAAGGGGCGACCACCTCCGCCACGCTCGGACCAGAGGCGGGCTACTTTTAATTGGCCCACCCTGTATTATCCAATGCCTGGACGGAGGCAGGAAGAAGAGAATTGGTCGCAACATCTCTGAGTATCGATCCATTCGACCGCATCATCTAGTGATGACAGCTCAACGGGACTAGCTATTATATTGCTAAATGAGACGAATATTTTAAAGGAAATTATTTGGAATGCGTTTTCCCGAAGAAGGTGAAATACAGCAAACCACCCGTTGACAACATTGTACAAGGATGCGGGATAGAGAATTCCGACACGGACTAGCGTGGACCCAAATCCAATATGACATCACACGATTGCTTTTAAAGAAACTGCGTTGTCTGTCAATTCACCTCCCTCAGCCGATTCACCTTCGATTCACCTTCAGCGATTGTTCGAATGGAACTCTGAAGCCAAGGGCAGTAGCCTTCCACTCTTTTCGCTTAAGACTGAGCTCCCAAGCCGGGAATGGTGGCAGCATTTGGATATTGTTATAGCTGATTATCATTCTCTCCAACTTGTCCTTCACCCATGAAATTATACACAACTTGACATATATCTCTTCATTCGAATTTCTTGCGTACCATTTATTTTTTTTACAAATATTTGAGAACACAAACGCATGCATTTACATGTACTCAATTTCCCCTACGACAAGGAATAGAAGAGATGCCATGCGACAAAAGGGCAACATCTCTTAGTATTTTATGATCGAATACAACAAAGCGGCGTTCAAGAATCATTTACGCCTTAGGTTTGCAGCATATTCATCTAAAGCGAAAATCTACGTGTAGTGATGATTTCATCAGCCACAACCGATTCTTAATTCAGGATTTTGCTGGCCGCAGCGAAACACGTCGACGTTCGGCAACGACTACGAAGCTGATTTCGGAGCAGAATAGAGATTGACGGGAGAAATATTAAAGCCGGCAATTAAAACGGACGCAAGGAATCGAAGGATTGGCAATGTTTGTGGTTTTACAGGGGAGTTAACATGTGACCCACAAAGTGGACGTAACGGTCCGTGTTCGACATAGCTTTTCCGAAAAATAAGTAGACGTCTACTGTGTCGCCCTCTGCAAGTTGAAGAACGACGGATTGCCCCGGCACGTCGTGTTCGCCCAGATCACTCGTATAGAAAGTGTACATTGCCGCTTTCACAAGCTCGTTTTGCCTGATATGGACAAGGCCAAAATCGTCAGTGTAATAATGAAAGGAGAAAGAGTAGATTCCGGCTATGGGTGCAGTAAAAACACCGGTGTTCGGGTCCATGGCATCGCCGATGTTTACCTCCGTCGACTCATACCTAATTACTGAGTTTTCGGTGATGTAGTCAGATCGTCTGAAGGCATCGAAAATAACTGCTCCGTCTTGAATGAGAGCACTGGTCTCCATTTGAAATTTGGGATCCGTCTCGTCCAAATCCATCTGGCAAAGGACGACATCCAATCGTCCTTTTTTCCTGCTGATGAGGTGGTATCCCGTGCGAGTGTTCCCAGCTCGGCGCAGAGACGAGCAGGATGTTGCTGGATTTTCCGGTCGGGGAGCCTCACCCCTGCAAACCAGTCCACCGTGCTAGAATGAAAAGTGGGGCGAATGAGGAATAATAATTTCAACAGAAATATGAGATGTCGTCTTGGGTAAAACTTCAGAACAGAATTCATTGGCTTTTGAAATGCTCAAGTCACACCTACTTGTTTCTCGCATGAATCTGACTGATCGATCAAAGAGGCCATCTGCTTCGAGAATGCTTCGTGCGTGCTTTCCATCGAGTCGTGTAGAACGACAGTGGTCACTGGGTCTAAGGAAGGCATTATTCATCACGATGACCGTCTGAGAAGGCTACTTGTCTAATATAATGGAGGTGTTTTTAAAAGAAAGTGGAATGGCTGTTTGATTCCCTCCACCGACCTGCTTCCATGTCACAGAGGACTTTGATGGGTGATTCACCGATGAGAGCACCGTCTGGATCCACAAGGTACGTTCCTGTCTTCGAGACTCCAAGATTTGCCAGAGCTTGGCAGCTTCGGGGCGCTGTGAGCACATATATACATTTAAATTTCTGAAAGAAATTAAGCAAAAAAAATATGATGAGCAGCAATATACTTATTTTTGAAAACATTTTACTCACTGATTTGCAGCGAGAGGGCTTCCATGTATTCCAATCTGCTTTCCATCATATTTGTATTCTTTATCTGATCTCTTTCGTCGGAATTTCCCTGAACCCAAGACTTCAAGCTTTCGTGGTCGTACCTTAGGCGCTCGTACTTTTGGCCAAGGATCCCGTTGTTATGCCTCAGGTCTTCGTTTTCTTGTTTCAGGTTTTCAGCAACGAGCTTTAGTTGCGCGATCTCGTTTGAGAGTTCTTGATTTTTTCCTATCACAGCTGATACCATCTTCTCCAATTGGAAGACACTTGCATGTTCATTGGATGGATGGAATGGGAATTTCTAAAATGACGAAGTAAATGTAGGATTCAAGTAAATGCACTAATGCAGCAACAGAGTTTACATGTGAAGATCAATCATGAAACGAAATCATGGTTTACTTTTTAAATCGAGGAATGTAAATTTCCGTCCACCACATTTATAACAATCTCAAGCCATGTGCAAGGGTGGTTCAATGCCAACCTGCACCTACCTATCAGTAGCTGATTGACGGGAAGAGAGCAGCGGGTATATAAATGGGGAAGCGTGGAAGGAGGTCGGAGACGCAAGCAGTGTCCTTCTAGGCTCTGTCCTTGGACCGCTCCTCCTTTTGGTCTACTTTAACGATTTGAATCTATGCATAGAGGGTAAGAGTGTAAGTAAATTTGCCAACGACACCAATGTAGATTTTCCGTAAGGAGGGAGGCAGGTAGGGCTAGAGCCGAGCGAGATTCGAGTCATTTGGATGAATGGAGCGGGAAATGCCTCATTAAATTTAATTATAAGTAAGAGTGAAGTTCTCCACGTCTTTCGAAACAACGGCAGTTCTCTCGACGCGTTCGGCGAGGATAAACTGGGAAGAAAAAAGGAACAAAGAGATTCAGGGTTTTTCTAAAGACGGTGACCTAAGTTTTCCTCGCACGCGCAAGCGACGGTAACCAATCCAACAGGATTCTAGGTTTCACTCGTCGTTCGTTGCAAGTAGGACTTCGCGTGCGATTCTTCGTTGCATGCGGCGCTGGTAAGACCCCAATTGGAATATTGCATCCTCTTTCAGAGGCCTACAAATGAGGGTGAATTGCTGGTGCTCCAGGGCTTGCAGAGAAGGGCCACGGTAATGATAAATGAGGTTAGGGGACTTTCATACGAGAAGCATTTAGAAGTGTTGGGACTGTACTCGCTCGAGGGAAGATTAAGGAGGAACGATCTCATCCATGCTTTCAAGATAATGAAAGAGGTAGGTAATTTAGAGCGTGGGAGGTTTTTCCAGCTCGATGGCAGCGAGAGAACAATAGGTAATCAACAAATGTTGCGTAAACCGCAGGCGCAGCTCAGGTCAAGACAGGAATTCAATACTTGCCAAATGGTGAACGCGTGGAATGCGTTAGATAACGACGTAGCGGCTGTCCTTCTGTGACTATTTTAAAAGAAGAAAATGGATGTTTTATGGACAGACAAAACGGTGGGGGGCAATGTTGAAGGTAGGGACTTGACAGTAAGCAACTAGGATACGCTAAAAAATTCAAATATATTTAGTTTAAAGTGGATAAGGCCCCCTCTAAATATTATGAACGCTCGAACTCGGCACGTTATATCGAAATAGGTGTAATCGCCTCTTGATATCACTAACTAGTAACCTTGATACGATTTACCTCATGGATATTCATGAATGCTTAAAAATCTGTACTTTCGGAGAATGTATAATATGATAACTGCGCTTTATGTTTGCTCTTTTCCCGCTCGGATTGTCTGTGCTCATAGTCCGTCATCGTGCTGTAAATGTAACAGCGGCACCTAATGTCTTGTCCCGCGTTTGAATCCGTTTTTGAAGGAAGTCATTTGCATCTCTTCCTTCGTTTTCGCTTTAGTTCTTAAATGCTATTTGTAGGGAGGGGGAAGTGGGGGGAGTGATCCTATTCCCGCATGTATGAACTTACTGTGTGTATTAGTAAATTTTCTCACCAATGTGTCACCGTATGTGAAGAAGGCGAACAGCAGGATGGACAGAACACCTGGTATACCCCACATTTTCATGCACTACTTCTGGGTTTTCTCACACCTGGAAAAATATCATTTTCTTCTTCATTGACTTCGAGTTTTCGATTGAATAAATGGGATTGTGTCGAAGAAAGCGATCGATAGGGGAGATTGGGGTCAGTTGTAACAGGCGTAAGTTATAACAGAAGTAGGTTTTAACAGGTATAATAGTTTCATGCCTTTTCAGTGTGTGGCGCTGAGAGTGCCTGCTATTCACCCATATTGACGCCTGCCATCTTGGAACAAGAAGAAAACACCAGGCTGACCGTTGATAGGAAAATACTCGAAAAATCTTCGTTCTTTGGGACAGGCGAGCGAAGTTTTCAACATCAGAAATGTTTAAATTTTTCCTACATGTGCACTGAAGTCTATGGCGAATTGTTATACGTAGGATGTAATTCCTAAATATCTGGTACAGCTTCTGGAGGCTCACCTTTTCCTGGAATATATGTGGGAAAACATTTTGTACCATGAGTAGGTGGGGGCTGGTTATAAAAAAAAACCTGTAGGGGCAGATTGCAATACTGTAAGAATTGGTCACAAGAAGAGTGTGCCGACACTCATGGTAGGCTGGCAAATAATTGCCACAATTGTGAGCGACGAAGATGGAGTGTAATCTGTTTTTAAATGCGAAATATGAATTCAAATTAGGTATTTGGAAGGTATTTAATTCTAGAAAATATGTGAACGAACCCGGGGAAGTGTTACTGGGGACTGTAAATAAACCGTTATAATATGTTGTAACTTCATCATCTTTTTTCATATTTCATTACTACATGAATGCAACTTATCTCTCTCAATCTATCATAAACATTTTTTCAATTCCTGTACAACACATGTGAAGCTATGGTTGTCATTTTTCAAGATATATCTCACCACCTTAAAGTTCAGCGGTAGAAACCTGATGATTTGAGACTGGGTGACTGCCAAATACGTCGACTGGATGTGCCACATAGATGGAGGCATGGACACCGAAACTGTGCACCAGTATCGTAGACAATTACAGTCGGTTGTTACGAGATAGGACAGGATGGCTCCATCTTCCAGCAAGACGATGATCTCAAGCGCACATCTCGCAAGGCTCCCCAATTATTCGAAGGCAACAGGTTGGAAATGCTGGACTGGTCAAAACAATTTCCTGACTTTACCATATCGAATGCCTATGGTCACTCCTGAAAGGGCAGCTTGGATCGTATGAAACTGACCTCAATAGTATCCATGAACTTTGGTGACGAGTAGGAGCCAAATCGCCCAATATTCATAAGAATATTTGTGCTGATCTGATCAAAAGCATGCCTAAATGCAGTGTTGAAATCCAAGGGCCGCTACAATAAATATTCAATTAAGTCATTTTTGTCCTTTTAAAGTAGTCTTTTTTTCTAATAAGTGACGAATGATACAAAAACTAGCGCAATGCATTGCCAAACTTTGAGTCAATATTTTCTTGATGGGAAGAATTAGCGACAAGAGACTACCATCTCTGCATAGCTTAAGAACACTGCTATCATATGACCCAAGAAAAGTTTTGATTGTTTGCTTCTAGACGATGCTAAAGCTAAAAGCGTCTCAAGACTGCGACAATTGTTTGGGTCACTGTATTGGCAAGTTGCACTGTATTGTTAAGAATTTTTACATTGTGTTTCACTAAAAAATAAACTCGTTTTGTTATATTAGCTTTTTTATTATTGATGTATCTATCGACTGTAAGCAGTAACAATTACTGTTACAAGCAACCCGGCATGCGTTACAATCAATCCCTTGCATGGAGTCAAAAGTAAAACTTGATTACCCTTTGTATATCGTGATTTTCTCCTAAGGGAGGGAACAAATGTGGTTTCAAATGTCATGGTACGATAGCCAATACGTCAACCTTTCGATTGATGACTAATAGAGGGTTCAACTCATATTAGTACCACGTCGAGCGCAACATTTCCGAAAAATGTTGCAACCAGGCCCGATTTCCCATATATTAATACATATGGTACTAGTGTAAAAGCCCGTGCGCGCACGGGCTAAAATGAGTAGAATCAGAACATTTCATGCGTCACTTTCTGCTCTTTCTTCGTTAGCTTCACTGTCTCTGGATGCAGCCTGCGTAGAATCTTTTGTGAACTTTGTCATGCACTTTTATCCATTGACTGTGACTCCATAGCTTCTGTTTTTTCCTTCGGTTCAGTGCATCCCGCCGCAGAATATATTATACTTCCCATCTTTATCGGGGCATTTCGAGAACGTAAAATTTATAAAATATTTAGTGCACACAATGCCTCATACTCTAATTGTTGGTTGTAAGCAATTCGCCCGAGAAGACATCCCGTAAAATGCTTTTCTGATGACTGAAACTATGCCCCATGACGTCAAACTTTTAGACCCGACAGTCATCGCCACCATGTTTCCAATGACACCAATAGCTTTGAACAGAGGCACACAGAACGAATTTGGAACTCTCAGTAATCAGAGAAAGGGAGGATGTTTCTCCTTATGGCTGGAAATATTACCGGTTTTACCCGGTTTGTGATGGATTTTTCCGGCAAGTGGACTGCGTGCACGAAACGTAACTGGTTCCAATCGGGAATTAGAAGGCTGGCATTTTCCTACAGGAAAAGCAGAAATCCAGCAGAATACAATGTGGGATCCAACTGGATCCTATTGGTTCATTCCAGCTGGAAACAATCAACAAATCAATTTACGACTAGTTCTGGTTGGAAATTCTGCATTTCCCGCTGGAAGTGGCACACATTTACTGATGGAAATCTTGCTGTTTCTAGCAGGAAGCTTTTGCTGGGGAGACTCCCGTTTTCTTTTGTTTAACAATATCCATTGAGTTCCGTCTAATGGGATTCTAAAGCGACACTATTTTCGAATTTAAACAGACATGCTCTCAATCAATTATTGGGGGGGGGGATGCATTTCATCTTTAGGGAAAGCGCGACTGTTTCAATCTAGATTGCTATCCGATGGAACACACTGGATATTGCCAATACCCAGTGAGTTCCATCATATAGTATTCTAAAGTGACACAACTTCAAAATTTCAAACAGACACGCTTTCAATAAATTATAAGGGGATACGTTTCGTCTTTAGGGAAACCCTAATCGCCTGTAAACAAATGTTCAGCGAATTTCACTTTTTAGCCTTAAAACGAGTCATGTCGTTTTAATATAAGAACGCCCCAGTAGAATATGACAAGATTTTGAGCTTGGCTTGCATGCGGATCTGCTCGATAGGATCTATCTGACCCGTGCATTGGGCATGAAACGAGGTTGACAATCTTATTTCCGGTCGGAAACGAGAAAATACGTTATTTGGGTTCGAGTTCTGAAACTCAAAGGACAAAACAGCCTTTGGATATGTCCGTTCGACAATCAAGTTTCAGGTGAAGTGCGAATCATGACGTGAGAGCACAAAGCCCAGGAAGTGTTCGGTATAATGCTTTTCTTCTTGGCCGAAATTTGGCCATATTACATGAAAATAGGACGATTTTCTGAACTTCTGATCCAAATAGTATCGCCTTCGGTCGTAAGCTTTTCATCTATATGTAGCTCATGAAAATCCGTTGATCTATCGAGGACAAGTTCTCCCGGACTGACAACCAGACACAGTTCAGACAAATAATCCTCTCATGTACGAGGTATTATGTAATTGCTTATGGATGAGAGATGGCCAGGTATCGATTTCACGCAACTTATCCTTAAGAAAGGGATATAGGGAAATGTTCATGGCTAATAGGGATATTTTCATAAGTCTCAGATTTCCCGATATTACTGTCTTGCACGGTTTCCCATGCCAAATGCACGCTTCGCCACCCTGTCAACTTGCGCAGAATGCCCTACATCCGAACTGTTCCGCTCAAAAATGCGTTTCTGCTCAGATCTGCGAGGGTCCCTTCGTCTCCCATGTGGCAAATACGTCATCAGAGACCTGGCGTTCCCAAGCTTAGAGGGCTAAGCGGGCAGGCCATGTAAGCACAACACGATTCGCGACTCGCAAAGCTTGGTCGGCGATAGCGTTCCGGGTCGGGTGCGGGCCACGATTCGAATATGGCCGATTGAGCTTCAAATCGGACAAATCAACCCGTGTAGGCCTCTGATGCGTAAAAAGACAGGAGAACTCGTAGAAGCCAAATTCGCAGAGTACTTTTTATACGTTTGACCCAAAAAGGACCGCCTCCAGATCATGAGCTTTCGATTTATACCTCAAATATTAAAATCCCGTTCATCCATCTATGAAGTGTTTCCCGGAAGGACAGAACAGACATATACTTATGTATATGGATTCAACGAAATTCAGAAACTGCGTGACATGCACTTCGATATTCGAATATTTATTTTCCGGCCGTAACGTATTGGAATAAGAAGGCAGAATGCTGGATGTGAGCGGAATGTACGGAAAGTGTGCGGAATCTGCTTCAGGCAATTCAGTCCTCTACGAATCTAAAACTTTAGAACGGTGAAGTTGCTTTGTGTCGCCTGTTTCCTCTCTCATCAGTCCAAAGACCGAGTGGGAATGTTACGAAAATGAAGTAAGTTATTAGAAGCGTTAGAAAAGATATGCACGAGTGTCACGTGGGTAAAATACTGGAAATGGAAGAATGACTAAAAATCGTAGTGGAATTATAGAAGGAAACGGACTCACGGTTTGATATAGATGCTGGACCCTCTGCGGAAATGAATTAAGGGGCCCTTTGTGAGGCTTAAATATAGAGGAAGTCGTGTGAAAACTCACAACTGACCTCTCTCTCACATTTTCTTTTATTCTTGTATGTCTCTTATCAAGTGTTGAAACCCATGTAGAAAAATTGCCCCTGACGCAATTCCCTGCGCAATTGTCACTTCATCGTGGAGAGGACATCCCGAACTTTTACTTTTTAGGGAGAAATATGTGTGCGTCCACCACACGTGCATCTTAATTGCTCTTATAATAATGGAAAAAAAAGAAGTAAAAGATTTTCTCGGGGTGAATGAGTCCACCGAGATTCCACTAAGACTTACAGGTTCAGGCCGAAATCATTCACTGCTGGTCATGCGAAGCCCAATTTGAAAAAGCGAAATATTTTGCTGTACGGCGTTGGAAAAAAAGTAATTAACATTGGAAAAGGTAAATTCAAGTTATAAGCGTGAAATGAAGTAATATATGTTATAAACTAATAAACTAATAATAATATTGTAAAAGTTACACATGACGTTAGTCATTTACAAGTCTTTTACAACTCTATCATAAGTGACACTAGTAATTGGCAGTTTCTTGTAATAAAAAAGGAAATACCCAAATAAACTTTGAGAAAAAAACTTTGGTTTGGACAACCATTGATTCATCTAATATCTAATATATATAGACGATCGTGACTGACTGACGCTAATTCTAACCATGTTCTAGAAGGGTTAGAAATCTGAAACTTGGTACACATGAACCTTTTGGGATGTAGAGTTCAGAAAAAATCCCACTTTGGAGGTATATCCCCTGGGTGTACACCTTTTGGGGGGAGAAGTTTTTAAAGATATATATTGAGACGGATTAGGATGGCATCAAGAGGCATGATTGGTTGTCTCTGATTCGGTAGTGTAGTGATAGCACCTCTGACCGGCAATCAGGAGGCTCTGGTTCAATTCCTGGCTGTTCCTTGGCTTTCTTTTGGCCTCTTATTCCTTCCAAGTCGCGTTCCCCTTCATAGCCATATTTTTGCTCAAGTAAAACGGAGAGACATGGAAAGCTGAATCCTTCCACGGCGATTGCCGGTATTAGAGCTATGAGGGGGAATGAGCCACATCTCAGACCTCATACTCGCCTAATTCTGAAGAGGAGGATATTGCAATGCAAAAGATTGCTTTACACTGGAGGATATCGAGTGAGACTTCATACACCAGCTTCCTAACATGTCCCTTGAGGTCTTTCAGGACGACGCCAGTTGTGCCGATGATGATCGGAACGATAGTGGTCTTCATTCCGCACAACTGTTCTACTTCCACTTTCAGTTCGGAGTATTTCTCCAGCTTCTCCCTGGTCTTCTCTTGGAGGTTATTATCAGCTGGGATGTTCACATCTACGAGGTGGGCGGTCTCCTTCTCATTCTGATAGATCGTAAGGTCCGAGCTATTACGGCCGGCTTGTGCGGTCTGTAATTATGGGCATGTTCCAGAGAACCTTGGTGGAATAGTTCTCCACTACAAACTGTGGCAGGTGTTCGTACCACTTCTCTTAGACATCCAGTACGGGTTTCTTACAGACACAACAGTGCACATATTTGCACACCTGGTCGTACCTGTGCAAGTACTCCCTCGGGGCTAGTTCGGGGCAGGCACTAAGGAGGTGGTGAACCGTTTCGGGTGGTCCATGACAGCATCTGCAGCTGTCTTCCACATCCAGCTTCAGGATGTGCTTCTGTAGTTACGAGTTCTGATGCATCGATCCTGAATGGCTAGGATGTTGCTCTCTGTCTCGGCATTCAACAGTCTCTTCTTCAGCCAGTTATAGGCGAAGTCCGAGTCGAGCGATAGTTTATCTACGATCATGGGATGCTGGCCGTGGCGTTGCTTTGCTGTTCATGAACATTGTCCAGCTCCTTGAACCACTATCAAATTCGCTGTCTTACTTTTTGTTACCTCAATATCCATCATCTTGATCTTCACCACATGTATTAAAGCTGGAAACGCGCATTAGTATGTATCGCTTAACAACACAATGAAGACAAAATTCTTCCAAAAATGAGCAATATTTAATCTGCACTCAGCCTGTTACAAACAATAGTCCAGGTTAAATTTGAAGCACTCTTGTATATTAGATTTTAGAGAAACGACATTGCTTTGTTTGAAGCTATTTTCTTTTTGATTCGGAAATGTGGCTCTGCAGCTCAGTTGCAGAAGCTTCAGATTGTTGCTGCAGATTGTTCATGGATGAATGTCAATCGAAATCTGCTGTCGTCTTATTGCATTGCCGGAAACTAATGATTCCTGCGATTAGTTTTTTTCATTTTGTGAAGGGTATGGTAAATCTTCCATGGGGTGGTAAATATTGCTCATGAACTTAATGACTTCTATTCCACGTGATTATGCCTGCACTTTCAGCGTCCTATTCATTTATTATGTTTTCCTCTTCCGGCCTCATTCGCTTTCCGTTTCCTTCCACCCACCCTTTCTTGTGCCACTTCCTTAGGTTGCACAAGCGGGGTAGCGTCAAGGCAGGGTCTAGGGGGTGCTCCCGTTTCCCCCACTTTTTAAGAAAGGAAAACAAAAAAAGGAAGAAAAAAACATGAAGTGCATGAAAAAGTATCCCCGAGTTCCCATGCCCTCCCACATTTTTCATCCACGTTGCGCTTATGGGTGGGACCCCTGGGCATGTATCTGCTTTCACCCTCTCGTTCTCAGCCCTGAATGAGGGGAGAAATGGCGTATCGATAATTTTCTTATAGAAGACTTCGTCTTTCAATGGGGTTAATTCATCAGCTTCACGCAGCTGGTTAGTGCATTCATGCAGTTTAAGCTAGCTAAGAAACTCAATAAGCCTATATTGATCAAGCAATCTGGTAATTTATTGAAAACGTTAGTAGTGATTTCATCTTGGCACTGCCTCAGACTCACAACTAAGTTTCTATTGTGTCGTGGCTTGATTGGAGGAAAAAGGAAATCTGACGTCATCAGTGGCGTCTCCTTCTTGCCCCATTTCTCAGGTATTCACGTTTTCTCTGATTTGCCCCATCGCTTGACCTTGGAAATTTTCACTAGTGTATGCCCATCAGCGGTAAAAGCTTCTCTGTTTCCTTTTGCCTGTAAAACCCTTCAAGGGTATCGTTTGGAACAAATTGCATTATAGCTGAGACTGCTATTAAAATTGGAGAGTTTTTCAAGTGTCCTTTTTGAATATTCCTTCCAAACTCTTGAAACTCTCAATTTTTTATGTTGTAACTCCAATATATATCATTGCTTGGTTGGAGACTTATTGAAGGCAGGAAGCAGGGACGTGTCAAGCGTTCTCTTACATGAAAATACATTAAATGAACATGTTTAATACATGGTAGATCATAAGCGTGGCGTGGATGGAAAAAGTGGGGGGTAGCACAGGCAGCGCCATACCGAGTATATTAGACGCCCTGCGCGAGATATCAATCCAGCCCCCCACCCTCTATACCTTTCCAGTTTCTCCAACACCAACATTTCATTACGTATTAATTATGTATCTGTGTTCAGTTAAATTCAGTCAAATTTACCTTTCTTTTATAGCTTCATTCATATTTTGCAGTGATTTGGCAGACAATCAGCGCCCTGTGTGCGCGCACCGCTCGTAGCCCCCTTGATACGGCTCTGCCTCTCACTCCCGATTCTCCCCATTATCTTCTTTTCTATCTACATATGATTCTCATTCCCCTATTCCGTCCGTGCGTTTCCTTGCAGTTTCTTCGTTTGGAATTTGGTTTCCATTTCCTCATATAACCTTCTGAAAGCGAATGGCTTGCTATTTCATTTCACATATCCTAAAATACCATCGTAGGTCACTTTTGCCAAAGAGAGAACAGCGCGAAAACGACAACCTTCTACAAATTATCATTTAATTACATATCCTAGAGGAAGTATACGTTTTTGGTTCTTTTACAAGACTATGCATTGCACAGTCACATTTTGAGAGAAGAAAAAAGTATTCAGGGGGAGATTTAGGAGGGTCAGGTCAAATTCGTTTAATTTTGATTAATTTCTTTAACCGCGATGATAAATTTAATGAAATTATTAGGTGGATATATCTAATCCATTGACAGCCCTAGAATAAGACGATCTCTTACCCTTTCAAAAATGATCCATTTCTATTGATAGTAATACGTACAGAACGATTAGAAAACGTCTATTCTAGGGTTTAATTCTCGTGATTGTGGTCATGAAGCAAAGCAAACGTAGAAAAATTAGCAAATATATATATCATTTAAAAAAAAATTATTAATTCGTCTTTATTTTACAATTCAAAATTCAAAAGGTCTGTGACCTATGACTTTAACTTACTGACCAGTTCTTGTCAATCTTCTGGAGCATATAATCTTCTTGAACTTATGTTTGATCATATATAGTATTTTTACAAACCATTATATTATGGATAACAATGCATTTGAACGTGAAATCTCATCTATGACAGCATTGATGGAAGTATTACATTCGATTCACAGATCAACATTCACAAACGAAAATTGCCCAACTACGGCAAAACCTTTGGTGATATTAAAGGTGCACATGCCCATTTTACTTGATTACGCGGAAAAGGTTTTTTTGTGATGACTGCCCCTAGCTTCAACCGAAATAGATGCATCGTTAGTTTCTTACTTATAATGGGCGCACGTGGAAAATACATATTGGAGGAGGAAGGGGGGGGGGGGGCGAAATTTCATTTCGTATTGGTAGATCATAATTTCTCTTCCTAAAGAGCACTTCTCATCTTAAAGGAAAAATTACAGTAGAATTTATATAGTTTGATTCAAAAAGGCACAATTACTTGAATCAAACTATATAAATTACAGTAGAATTTATATAGTTTGATTCAAGTAATTGTGCCTTTTTGAAGTATTTATGCAATAATTCCGCAGCCCCCCGACGCTGCCCTCAATTCGGCGCCCCGTGAGGGGGGCACCACTCATACACCCCTTGTTACGGCACAGAGCACAGGACACAAGTGGGAGGGGCGCGTGAATTCTAAGATAGTAGGATGCACGCATTTCTGAGTATTTACCTTCTTTATTTTAGT